GGATCAGGTGCTCAGCAGTGTGAGATGATGGTGGCTGTGGACAGTTAAGGAGACTGTGGACACGAAGGCTGTGTGTGTTACGTCACACACAGCGCCCGTTTGTATTTCCGACACTGTTGCTCTTATGTTTTGGGGTTACTGCGTTACGGCACTTACTGTAGGTGCCTTGGCTGTTCCAGGACACGCACAATAAAAAACAGATGTCCATAAAACCTGTCTGTCTCAGTCCCTGGTTTCCCACAGTATAACACTGGAATACAAACGGACGCTGTGTGTGACATAACACTGTGGAGACCAGGTGGTCAGTGGATGGAGATGATGAAGGCTGTGGACAGTTAAGGACACTGGACAAGAAGGCTGTGGAGACCAGATGGTCAGCAGAGTGAGATGATTAGTGGGTCTGGGAAACAAAAGATCCATGTGCAGGTGTTGGTTTTCTTCATCCATATACAGTAAGTCTGGACATAACTTCTACTTGTTGCTTTGAAAATTGGACACCAGTGCAGCTCCCCCTTAACCTCTAATGGAAAGAAATCCTTATATTAATAATAAAAGCAATGTTTAGTTTCACTAAACTTTACACTGCGAAACAAAGGGACCTTCCATGTGTGTTACAAGGATTCTCCCATGAGAGTTGAGTACGCTGTAGAAAGGAACAGATTTTTATGGCAAATCAGAAGCAAAGAAAAGTGAACAACTCACCACAACAGCGACACCTAGAGCTGTTTCTCTCCGTTTCAGAGTGACGTGGGCTACAGGACCCTGATGTCTGTCTCTGTTTAGTTCCGACATGGCAATAACATCAGGTACAGTACTGCTCTTCCTGTCATATAAATAAATGTCTATCAAAATGAATGTTAAATCTTCTGATTCTAAATTACATGACGGTGAAAGACCTGTTTTATTAGCCAATCCAATCCTAAAGCAAGATCTGTGGGGTAGAGTTTAGTTTGTCTCATCGGGAAGGCTTTGTCTAATGGAATATACAGTACGTGCTAAAAAACACCTTACAGGAGGTACACATGGGCATTTTACAAAGAAAAGAGTTACAGAGAATCCGAAAATTCTATCTCCCATTTTACACCACAAGAGTGCAAATCTTGCTCACTATAAGGGATGACACCTCTCTTGGGGTTTTTCACTTATGCTTTAACGTAGTGTTGTCTTTAAATCAGGCCTGTAGATGACTGTTCAGCAGATAAAAGACAACTTCCAAATAACAGTGACTGACACTAAGTAATTTAAAGATTTGGTTAAGTGCATTAACTTTTTAAAACTGACAACAGCATAATAATGTAATGAACAATAAACAATAAACATTCAGCAAACATCAAACTATCTCTTTACTCAAGGTAAAAATTCCATCTGGGTCAAGGTGTTTTTCAGGAGCCTGATGTCCACCCTGTCCTTCATTGACCCTCGCTCTGCTGCACTAGAAGTCAGGGTACAAGACCCCAGCTGTGGTGACCAGTAACTCCAGCCTCTCACAATAAACACTATTGTGTATACAGTAGATATGAAATGTAAAAGTAAAAGAGTGTCATGGTATTTTACCTCATACTGCTAGAAAGACACACATCAGAACCATGGCTCTTCTGTTCTCCTGCTTTCCTGACATCTGAGAGAGTGCTCAGAGCCACAATTTCATCATTATCAAACATCAGGTGGAGCCGATAATTGACCAACTTAATCAGGATGAAAAGCACCGTCACCAAACTGCAGTAAATACTCAGTGTCACACTGGTCGGGGGCAGAGCCTGAAACACACACACCATGGGAAAAAAAGGTCTGATATCAAAAAGCTTCTTCCAGAGCAGTGAACTGGCCAAATTAGTAGCCTGGGCTTGGAGGTAATACAACTGTTTCAAAACTGGATGTAAAAAAAAACAAACATGATCAGGATACAGTCCTGTCTGCATGTTTAGCCTTATGTTAGGCAACATTGACAGTAACCTGTTTCTGGACTGAACAGTATACTTCTACATCTGTTCTTTTTCTTTCTCCCGTTTACAACCGTTTTTGTGCAATATATGCCAGGGACCTGTGCAATACATTTATATTTTATATTGTGCAGTACAACTTTTGTGTACTGTTCTGTTCTGGTTTGTTCTTTGTGTGTTCTGGACTGTGAGTAACTCTTCTTAGTGCACTTCTCACTGTACTGACTGTATTGTACGTATTGTATTATTATTATTGTATCATTCGTTACACTGTTGCTGTGTTGTCTGTGTTAAGCTGCTGTTGCACTGCAATCTCCCTCACGGGATCAATAAAGTATCTATCTATGTTCATGTGAAGATGGTTATAAGGCTTTTTAAATCACAGCAAATATACTGTAAACATCAAATTGCAATTCTATGTGGAATAATATGCAGCAAAGCTCTGCAGAACTAAACTGAAGAATTTTCATTCTGGATGTGGAATCCGTAGTGTTTTCTGTTTTAGTACTGTAATTTTGGAATTATAAGAGGGCTTTATTGCCAACCACAGGATAGACACAACACTCAACAGATACACTTTTCTGCATTGTCCTTCTCCGGACCACCCAGGAAACTCCATTCCATCCAACAATTATGCATAATTATACTACTGTTGTATTATTATACAAGGCTGAAGTGAAATTCTTGAATCAGAAGGCATTGTACATTTTGTACAGGATATTCCTGACTCACAGTTAGAAATAAATTGTCAGACTGCTCTACCACTTATGGAAAACTCGTTAATGAACATATGAATAAACACAGCAAATAAATACTACACTGAAGTTTGCAAATAAAGTATAAACCATTTTTTAAATATTTTCAAAAGTACAGATTAAGGCAACAGAATAATTGTTTTCATATCTCAGTTTAGATAAATATGATCTGGGAGAGTCCTTTTTATACATAATTAATGACCACACAATCCTAAAACAATTAATTTATTTTGCAAGGTATAATGGAAGTATTTAAGACATTACCGCAAGTTCCTGTGCCTATCCACAGACAGTGGATATTTCATTGGGATGTGCCAAAAATCTCTAAGAGCCTAACCACTTTCACTTTCCTTTGAAAGGATACGCAGTCTGGCTGCTACAGTTGTTCTCTGGCAAAGCGACTTTTTTTATTTTAAAACTTATTTGATTGACAAAGGCTAGAACAAATGAATCCGATATTTTTAGAGATTGTTTTAGAAGTGTAAATTTGCATGGTGTCTTTGTTTTCCTCTAGGGACTTCTTGATAACAAGAATCTTCCTGCATTTTTCAGTGATACTGCAGAACCCTTTTTAGACAATCAACAATCATACTGTACTTTCTTATGGAGGAGGGGGCTGTTAAACTGGTCCAGTTAATCCAGTAACCAGCTAGTATAGCTCATTAAGAGCCGACTTAGAACAGGAACCTGCAGACACACCAACCCTCCAGAACCAAGATTATACACCCCTAATGTTCTTGAGGAAAAGCATTAGAGATCACTAAATCCTAGTTGTAACTATACAAATAAAAGTGCCAGTTTTCCTCTACTACTGCAGACCAGCAGCAACCTTGAGACAAATCCATGTTGTGAAAACATAATGCTTGAAGCGCAATAAAAAATGTAAAGAAGATTGGGACTTTATGGTGTGATGAATGTATTGATATCTCAGGGGTTTGTGGGGTGTCTGGCCATACATCTTTGGGTTAATACTGATTTCGCTGAATTGTACCACACCATTCTTCATGGCAGATATTCTTAACCTAAAACCAATTTATTATGATTAGAACTCGGAGCTGGGATCTCTTATGTTTAAGACGTATTTTAGGATTCACCCTAGAAAGGAACGTGTGACTACCGCAAGTCAAGCTCTACTTATTACACGGTTCCTTGAAGGAAAACTTAAAACTGGGTTTAGTGAACCGAACAGCGCGTGATTCTCTTACGTGGAAGCTGGCGACACCAATATCACAGACCCCGTGGAACACCAGAACAATCTGTCTGGAGGTCTTTAACCTTCCTCGGTCATCGTAAACGGGAGAGAGGAGGCGCTTGAGCTCAAATATCCCCTCCCCGCAGGCACAAGGGTTTAGAGCAACTAGGAGGCGCGTGTGATGCTAAATGAAAAGGCGATACAGTACGTTAACCCCCAATCGAGGTACACGTTTTGTGAGACGGAAAAAAATAAATATGACGTTCGACAAGACGTGCTAGTTTATCTCAATATTATCTTTCAAAATAATTTCCTTCGTGTCAAAATGAACACCGGTGTGGCGTGCCTCATCCACGTTTCAGTGCGATGCCCTAGTAATTCTCCTCTGGAGCGGCTCGGTCTCCTGTCTCACTCTGATGCTATTGTACTGTCATGCATTCAAAAACCCACTCCGCCTCGCATGCAGGGAAAAAATGCGGTATTGCTAGGAATTTCTTTTCACATCTGACGCCCTTTCAGTGGCATTAAGGGAAGCTTATCCCTGAACCAAAAATGCAAACAGAGCAAATCATAATTAATTTTAATGAACTGCACGCAAATCCGCTTGAAGTCCTCGCGTTCACGGCTCAGGGACAGAAGCGAGCACACGCGTGGCTTCGTGTTTTTCACAAGGCTTCAAAGACATACGTGTATAGCCGGGCTATGAAACAGAATTTATTTTTACTCACCAGGTGGAGGGTTAAAGGGAGCATGAGAAGGAATATCCACAGATAGAGGTGACAGGAGTTATTGAATTTGTTCTGGTCTGGGTCATGGTACCACCCCCCTGTCAGGGATGCCCAGACTCCCTGCCGGAGAGTCTGGAGCACCTGAGAGCCCATTCCCTAAGATCCGATAAACATTCAGAGAGATTCCGAAAAACGTCGCTCAGGACGCTGCCATGTTGAAGCTCTTCCTTTCCTT